AGTAAATGGAATAAAATGGTTTACCAATTAACGTGTTATTTATTACAGCCGATGAACCGGAATCACCGACGCAAGGCTTACTATCATCGGAGATAATACAAAACATTCGATCGGTCAGCTGATATCCGTACGTCACAGTACACTTTTCGTTACTAATTTTGAGTATATTAGTTTTTTGAAGATTTTCGGACATAGGAGCAAGATTCTAGAAGAAGATATTTACCGATAAAACTATATTTAAAAATAGCCACATATATAATAATTTTGCTATTTGAAAGAAAACAATAATCATTATTTATTATCTCTCTTACCTGTGTTGTTCCCCAACCGACGATAGTAATTTCAACACCATCCTTGATTTGTTGATCTTTTTCTGGTAATTTAATTGGTTGTTTCAATTTATCAAAGACTATTTTTCTTTTCAACTAAAATAAAACATTTTTTTTTATTTTTTTCATTAAATATTTCAGTTAAATAATACTTTAGATAAGTATAATTAGTTAATCGATCATTAATATCACATTACTTTTATAAGTCCAACATCGAAATCGTAATTGTGATAATTGAAGGCGGGGTGAACGACGATCTTTTCAACGTTATACGTCATGCCATTTTTATAATAATACGTGCTTCCAGCTCTGATGTGAAATTCTCTCACGTTTATACTGTAAGAAGAGGATAATATTTGGATTTGTATTGAAAAAAAAAAAGTACTTGTCAATGCATAGGTATACTATACGATTATGCTATATCGAATGATTTGGAACTCAATGGTCTTGCCTCAGAGCACACTGAGCCGATGTTATTATCCACGTATCACTGATAATACTACCGCCGCAGAAATGCTCGACATCATGGCCAAAAATTGTAACGTTGTTCTGTAGAGAAACCTGCAGGCAAAAGAATTATTTTCTATATATCAAATGGCCCGTAAAGGTCGATCGCACGACGTATACTAACTGCAAATGGATATTCTTCTATAACGGCATCCTCTCCACCGATAATTCTTTGCCCCACTGACTTCGGGCTTATTCTTTTCCAATAATAGCCTGTATGACATTCAAATAAGACGGTAATATCAGCATATCATATACAATTATCTTTTCATCAAAATATTTCAACTCAGTCGCGTATATTATAATGCTTTACAATCATTTCAGAGTATCTCTTTTTGTGATCTTATTGTCTCGATAATCGAATTTTTAACAAATATCTTTACTTTTATCTTCGAATTGTTAACATATATTTTTACGTAACGCTTTTTAAATATTATTATTTTATTTCGTAGATCTTTTTATATAATATTTTATAACATTTTATATGTGATATATATTATATATTTTAGAAAATATTTGATTAGAGAAGATTATTTTATTAATGAAATAATTAATTTGATAATTATATATATAAATAAATAATAAGCATACTTGAATCAATGATGTTAGACGTTACTGAAGAACCGAGGAAGGAAATTAGTATCACCAACTTGATCATTTTAATGTCGTTTGTACGACTAATGATTCTCATCGTACTATATAAACCTTTTGAAATTCATGCATATATATCTATATGATAATACTCTTGCGTTAATCGTAATATTGTTAATTCCTGTAATACTATGACCGGAACAGTTTACTCATCGTCACGATGGGGAATTTTTTAAATATTCGCACGTAAAATGACTCAAATTTATGTAGATAATTTTTAGCTGCATCGTTGTTGCATCATGAATTCGGAATGTGTCGTGTTTACATTCGAATCTTCGTCTTTAAGATAATTAAAGCTAACTAGAGGCGTAGTAGTATTTCTAATATAAATATTCACGTATTTCCATGTTTTACAATTAACAATTTTGTTTTTGTTAATTTTGATGATAATTTTCATAGAATGCATCTTCAATTTCATTTAGCACATAGTTGTGTATATTTTATCCAACCTGTTTATGCATTTTTTGTTCTCTCTCTCTCTCTCTCTCTCTCTTTCTCTTTACGTAATTTAGTTTATTAGATCCGGCTGGAATTTATTTTCTAACGGAAGAAAAATATCCTATTTTCCTTTATGTGACGTTTTTGAACGCACATATAGACAAAATGAAAAGGCGTTACCGGTCATGTAAAGAAATACTATGTTAATTACTTAATTACAACAGCAGTGCTTTATTTAGGATGTTACTAGCGAGTAATTAGTAAGAATTTTAAATTAAAGTAAAAATGCGCTTTTACATATGTGTAGCATATGGTGAAACTCGAATGATAATGTACATAATCTAGGAGTAGTCCGAATGCCGGAATAAAAACTGAAGAGAAAACACGTTGTAATTGCAATTACGTATGCAGACTTTTGTTGATTTTATGTGGAAGCGTGTCCGTAGATTTTCTTTGCCCTGACAAAGTAGGTACTACATATACACATACATAGGTATATCTAGTATATACTATATACGTGTATTTACTATGATGAAATATTTCTCGTGATTATATTTATGACAAATTCCTTCGAATTGTTCTGTTTGTTTTTTTTTTCCATTTTTCTACGACGCATATATAATTTTGTTCATTATTAACCTGCTTACGATATCGTAAAATAAACAAGGATTTTTGTTGTGTAAGAAACGTTTACGAAATTTACGAAGAACGAACGATCATATGAGTTCGTACAAATTTGTAAGCATATCGTAAATTCGGTTAAGCTGTTTTCCATTCGATCATTAGACTTTTATTATACGCCATCGGCATTGACCTGGCAATTTCTTATCGATATCGATGTTGTTGATGCATGCGCACCAATTAAAAACCCATTTTGGACGATAAAGTTAATTTATATTGGTTTTCACGCTCAACGTACGATAGCCGTAAGCGAGGTTTGTTGACCTTTGGATAAATTTTATCGGGGTGCTACGAATTTACAATACTTTCCTCTTAACGGAATTATTTCTTTGTAAATACAAAATAATAAGGAAATACTTTTTCGAAGTACGATAATAAATGATCGGAAAAATATATACTTTTTTGTTTTTTTTTTTTTCAAAAAATTTCTAACAACGTTCTCGTGACGATATGCTGTCGTTTAACAGTAGAACTATTACGCTTTCTATTTTGACTATATAATGCATTTATTATACGCTATATCATTAATAATAATGGACAGCTTATTTCATGCGGGTTCACTCTTCTAATATTTACATTGAACTCGAATTTCCTGCATTTTCGAAATAGTTTATTCAACTACATAAATTATTACATAGCTTTAACGTTACTCTGGCACCATATATCCGCTCGTATAAAAACGTAATAGTTCTTTTATAAATGATCGTCTAAGCAATAATATTTTATATTTAATGTAACGAAATTTAATTAAGAGAATTTTAATAAGATTTCATGAAAATGGAGGTAAAAGAAATATTATTCGCCTTACGTTTAAATTAAAGTATAACATTAAAGGGAAAACAATGAAAAAAGGAAAAGGAAAAGGAAAATAAAAAGAAAAAGTAAAACAGAAAAATCTCTCTTGCGGACGAATATTTTACGGTACATTTATTAGACTCTTTTGTAATGTTTAACGAAATACTCTAACTAATGGAAGAAGATAGGCGGTGGGTGGGTGGGTGGGGGGGGGAGTAGGATTCCAACGCGTGTAATTTGATGCGCAATAACGATTAACTGTGTAACTGTTCGTTCGTAGAAAATAAAATCGACAAAGTAGCTACGCGGATGAGGGAAATGATAAAATCGTAAATTTCTTTAACTATGTATTCGAATGAACTAAATATTCGTCAGGTGGGATATATATCGAAGCATTAACCATTTCTCTTGGCGGACTATCGTAAAATTCATTTCCATATATTCTCATTGGATAATATATGTAGATATATAATACATTATATGAGTAGATATTATTACATATATACATATATATTATGTGTTCATCAAAGCATTAGAGCATGTGTATCATTATGTAGGATGTGAGAGTTCAGCTTGTTAAATACGATGCCTTCTAATCCGGTTAAGAGTCCTATCGCAAAATTAAGACCTTACCTATTTCCATTAACGTTCAGTATTAATTTCCTTTTTGGAATCAGTAGTGTTCTTAGTCTAACTGTATTACTTCTCTTATTGATTTCTTACCAAATTCGTCCTGACGTTACCTGTTCCGTGAAATTTTACGATTTCTTCCGTATCTCTCTTCGGATATTCTAGAGAATTTTTTTCAAATTCCTAATTTTAACAATATCTCATTGCGACTATTAATTACTAATGTTAATTTCTGGTTACGTTTCTTTTTTTGCCGTGTTCAATATTTTCTTTTTTGAAGGCTAAACGCTTTCAATGCCCTTCCTAAGGAAAGCGTCTCTTATTTTGCGACTTAAGACCTTTTTTTTACAACTTTTTATTAAATTCTTGCTAATTTGATCGCCGTTTTGTTCTAAACCCTTACGAATTCTTCGACTTATTATTGCTGAAAATATATAAACTAATTCAAAGATTTTTAATTATTATGTTAAAAGAAAATGCATTCCTATGACAATTTTTTGAACTTGGCATCATTCGGACATCAACTCGTGACACAATTTTTTTACATGTTACTCCTTTTTTTTTGGCACTAACTTCTCGCCCCTTTCTATCTGGTTTTACTATCCGTTCGGATGCACTCTGTATACCTGGTTTACGATCTAACTTTATCATTTGAAATATTTCTGCTATTTTTGCTTTAATGGGAAAAATTCTCTCACGACAAAGTTACATTATCCCTAGGAGCACATTTGACGATGGAAAGAATATTTTCTAAGGATCCATTTGTTTTTTTTTTTTACTATATTTTAAGCTCATTGGTATTTCGTTTATGAATCCTACTATTTTTGTTTGTTTGAATAAATTGATTTTTGTATCAAGCAAAATTAATAAATTGATTTTAGAAATATTATTTTATGTATAAATATTAATTACGTAGCATTTTTAAAAGAAATATTTGAAGATATCTTTCGCAGAAATTCGACAAACAGGATGTCAAATAATTCAAGTGAATCAGTTAACGCTATCAGTATTAAAGAGTGATTTGTTATCGGTAATCGCGAATCGAATCACATCAAGTTGATTTAAAAATATGACTGTTGTCAGATCAGTTTATGGATTGCAATTCAAATAAGAAAGAAGTTGTACAATCTTCTTTATTAATTTCGCTTTTTGCACCAAGTGATAGAAATAATAGAATTATAGTAGGAACGATTATTAGGATATAAATGCACATCAGTATTAAGTAAATATAAATACTTTTTTCCCAATTGTTTTATTAATACAAGAATTTTTGTTAAATATGGTATAAACAATTAGAAGTGTCCTGAACACGTAAAAATGAATTTTTATTTTAAATATATTTATTAAATATTATGCAATTAATTAATAAATCAGGATGTATGTATATTTATGTCATTGGAATATTCTTAAGTGCTATAATAGATATATTTAATTTAGATTTTGTATTTTATTTAATGTAGCTATCATTTATAAAAATAAGCTTTACTACAGTGGTTCGATAATAAGTAAATTATGGATATTAACTGCTGCACACACATTACGCCGATAAGTTTGTACAAATATTATTTATTATTTGAAATTCCTATAATTAATTTTATTCAAGTTATATTAGATTTTTCTTTTTATAGTGCTATGCAAATAATATTAATAGACATTTAATATTGGAAATTTAAAATTGTTGATTTTTCCGTTATCTTGTTCTTTCTTTTTCATTTTTTTTTGTTTGTTTTTTATAGTGTACTAACCAAAGCACTTTCCATTCATGTTGGAAATACTTATTATGCTAAAGATGGTACGCTCATCAAGAATATAGCTCAAGTCATTCCACAGAATCTTTATGACGGTCATACTTTCGATTATGACGTTGACTTGATAAAGGTGAGCAGTATAGAATGAAGGCTTTTGAAATTTTTTTGTTAAACTTTATTACATTACTTTATCTTGACCGTTAGTCGAATTTCTTAGCACAAATTTTATCTTACCTGCTATCCATCATCTTTAGTAAAATGCAAAGAAAACATACCATTTGTATAAAAATGTTCTAAATTGTATTTTTTGTTTGTTAACATCAGAGCTGACGTTGAGTTTTAGCAACGTGAAGATAGTGAAATTACCTTCCGGTGAACGCAAACGTGTCAGATGGAATCAATGCCATCGTCGTGGGATAGGAAAAGACGGTGAGATTTTTTCTCTCTTGTAGAATATATCATTCCAACTAAAGGGTACACGTTCCTCACGTTGAGTTAGTTTTGGGACGATGACGCTCGTTGAGACTGATTACCGGCGATTTGTGCAAATAGTGGGGGTTTGCCGATCGCCGACATAGTCCGGTTGTCACAACAAACATTCCTTCTGGCTGGTCGAACGTTTGCCGGATTTCGATTGGCAAACTGTGAGTCATTCGAAAGGGTTACCTACTTCTCTTGTTGATACCAGAGTTTCAAATTTAGATCGTATTTTCGTTCACTTGGCAAATTTCAAAAGAGGAAATCAAAATTGTCTAATTAATATAAAGGAAAACCAAATAAACTTAGAAAATGGAATATTGTAAAATTAAATTTGTCATTTAATATTTCTAGAATTAAATCTTATTTGAAATGGTTCATAAATCATGCAAATCGAATTACCGAGAATCGTAAAATATAATTAACTTATTTAACTTTTTTTTATCAATCGATTTTTATATGAAACTATCTTTTACGTATTATTTTAATGTATAATATATAAATTGTCGGTAAATATTCTTTTATCATATTACAAAATTATACAAAAAAAAACGTTGACTTTAATGTGAGTGCCATATCAAATTTTTCTTTCTATTTGTATAGGAAATCAATAATTTTAAATCTCTCTTTTGATAAATCTATTAACAGATATCGAAGTTAAAAAAAAAAGAATATAGAGAATAATTGTAGTTTTGAGTATGGCACTCATCATTAAAGGACTTTTTCGTGAAATTAACTTCAGATTAACAATGATTCGTGGTTGTTATGCGTTAGGTATGAGGATAATTACGTAATACGTTCTCGATATCGTCGTAGCGTATTGAAAAATATCGGAGCTTGATTTGCAGGGAAGTTTAAATGGCTTTCAAGGAAACAATGAAAGTCGATTATCTTAAGGACAGATTTCCGGTTGGTATTCTTTCCTCGAGAGAATGGCATTACGTCGTCGACAATCGTTGAGATTCATTCGCGTTCTTTTCGAACGAAACGAAACGAAACTAACTCCGGCGTCGATAATAAATTTCTTCGATGATTAATAGTTCGATAATCGATAATCGTTTAACATTCTTAAAATCAGTTATATAAAATGAAAGATTTCAATTTTTAATCTTTGTGAAAAGAAGAATTAAATAAATCTTCATTTGTAATTAATACACTGAATAATGTATCTAGTATCTACATCGTATGTGAGGATTACAGTATTACTATTTTATAAAAGTTATCGATCACGTCGATATACTCGTTGAGTTTTTTCATTTATAGTATTTTAAATTAGAAGTATGATATTTTCTACGATTATCTCGAAATATTATATTTTGAAAAAATCAGGTACGTTTAACTGTATATGCATCGATGACCGAAAAAACGTGATTTCATATTTTGAATATCACATTGGGTTATCATAGCATAATAAAAGCATACCCTTCTAACTCGTGTGCTTTTTAAGTATGGAATTCCCCAGCATTGAAATGTCGAGGCAGGTAAAGTAAAGTACTCACGAAATAGCAGTAAAATTTAGGAAGGGAAAAATCCGTTCGACCTTAAACGCTTATCCTTGTCGTCATTCGGAATTATTAATTCTCGAGCTGACGCGAACGTGTTCCGAATTTCGTCACGGTGTGACCTTGCATAAACGGTTTTGCAAGCTCTTGCACAGATGGCTGACTCGTAAAGGACAGCACGAAATGGCGATGCTTTCCTTTGGCCCTAGAATGTTGGCACATAAAGAGCATTGCTATTGTACGTGATACGGTGATCGTCGTCTTCTTCGTAGGATAATACATGGAAGGAAGGGCTAAGGTTCAAACATCTCTTCTCTTCTTTCCTCGGTTCACCTTGCGCCCTTCGAGTCGTTAAGAATCATACCGGCCATGGCATACTAATGCAATGCCCATTATGGTTGGTAAGCAATCGATATTACCTGGATATCTAGCTGCTTGCTTTCCTACTAGTTCAGCAGCTTGCATGCACTATTTCCGTATATCCACTCTCACTGAGATAACAATGAGATATAACCTAAGCACGGAAACGTTTTGTTAGAGTTTACGCTGTCCTCGCATCTTGGCTAGTATACGTGTACCGATTCGTAATTTTACATTTACCCTTGTGTAATCTCATCATGGTATTTCTCATCGTGAAGGAAGTTTCTAGATGTTAAATACCTCGGAACTTCGGTAGTCTATAGGAATATAACGTGTAATTACGTCATTGGATTTCTCCGGTATTTGTACGATCGAGCTGCCAAACACTTCACCTTTGAGATTGGTATCATTGTTCATGACGTCATTATATGTTTCTAATGGTAAATAAAACGGTGCGTGTTTGTTATAATTTGGAAAATAACGAAATTTTGTTTTATTTAACACACGTAGAACGGTTCATTAAATATTTTGATAAGAAGGTTACGAAAAAATCAATTCTATGATTCAAAATGAATACTGACGTCTATCAACACGGATTTCGAAATATCGAAATATAAGAGAATTGAGCTAAACGACAGAGAGGTAGTTCTTTCCTGGCTTTTGTCTTGACTCGTTTCTTTCATCATGCATAATCGACTCATCCTGTCGTCGTATCTTTTTCTCCTCGTACAGCTGGTTATTTCTCAGGATCTTAATTGGGATTGTACGTATTGTTACTTAGTATTCCCTTTTTTCTTTTTCTTTGATTGTCGAATATAATATATAATAAAAATGAAATGTCGTTACTTTTTTTTGTCGAAAACGAAATCGTAAGTCGAGTTATCGAGTTGTTGTCATTAATAGACGACAATTACTCGACAACAATTCTTGGCGAAATATTGATCTGGATAATTCGGCATTTTAGACGACGAGGGTCGCATTGTTGGAGGCCGACAGACCAGTATTTATCAGCACCCCTACCAAGTGAGTGTTTCGGACAATTATTAACTAGTTAAGCGACGATCGTCGAATCGAAGTCCTCGGGGCGTACCCGGCGAGACAAATATTATACCTATGTTACTGTGTAGTTTCTCTATACGGGACTAGAAACCTGAACATACGTTACATACTATTACGAGTTGTCGATCCGTTATTTGGTATATCTAAACGGATCAATTAGATTACCATACTTCATTTAATGTGACGATAAGTTCAAAGATTTATTTTAATTATTTTTTGTTTTATTACATTTTATCTCTCATAATTACATCGTTTATACAGTTGTAGTCGAAAATTCGATCGAATTTGTATTTGATCAAATAATTTTATATCAAAGTTTAATTGAGAGAGAGAGAGAGAGAGAGAGAGAGAGAGAGAGAGAGAGAGAGAGATTCTTGTTATGAATATACTCATAAGTATAAGTATAGTTAAATATAATCATATTATATCTGATTGAATTCATAGGTGTCCATTCGATTTAATGATCGTCACATTTGCGGTGGTGCTATTATTAACGAAGAATGGGTTATCACAGCTGCTCACTGCGTAAAAGGGTCAGTATTTCTGGTTTTTATGAATAGGTTATTCGCATAAATAAGTTTTGAAAATTGTTCCTTTTCTCGTAGTTCATTCGCAGGATATATATCGATAAAAGCAGGAGTATCGGATTTAAAAAAGATAGGTACGGTGCTTCGTGCTAAGAAAATTTTAATGCATGGGTTTTATAATCCGCGTAATTCGGATTATGATATTGCATTGATTCAAGTAAGTATTTATTGTTTAGAAATTTATTTTTACGAACTTCGGATAATCTCTTTTAATTGAAGTTTATTTCATGAAAATAATATCAAATATCCTTTTCGTTTACATAAAGATTATTACCATTAATGGGGGGGGGGGGTAAGGTTACTTGCAATTAACAGTTTCCAAAGGTTCTAATCGATACTTCCGTATACTATATATTTTATTGTAATAAAGATTTTATTTCTTGATCATTATTTTGTCATAAGGACATTTAATTTAAGTTCTAATATAATTGCAATTATAGTTAGAGAAGCCACTTCGTTTTGATTACAATATAAAACCCGTATTGTTACCAAAAATTACGGATCAGTATAAGGCAGGTACTAAGGCCGATGTGACGGGCTGGGGAGTTTTCAAAAAGGATGGTGTAGTGACTGATAAATTACGCGAAGTAAGGGTGCCAATCGTTTCGAATTCCAATTGTTCGTACTTGTATAAAAGTCGTGCAATTACTTCAAGGATGTTGTGTGCTGGTTATGTAAATGTTGGTGGAAAAGATGCTTGTCAGGTAATTCGCTAAAAATAAATAAAGTAACAATTAATTTTGAATAAGTATATATATATATATATATAAGTTTATTAATCATTTCTTTTTCTTACATATTATTTAGAATATCAATTTGATTTAATAATATTTATTTCGGTAAATTATTTTGGAATAATGTTCTTACATACTTTCATAATGATTTTAATACATGTCTTATTGCATCTTAATTCCTTATTTTAGGGCGACAGTGGAGGACCATTAGTACAACAAGGGATATTAATTGGCATTGTATCTTGGGGTTACGGATGCGCAGAACCGTTATATCCTGGTGTTTATACAAGAGTAGCAGCTTTTAGATCTTGGATAGCTAGATATTCTAAAGTATAAGACGTGGGATAGATACTTTTGGAGAAAAAAATTAAAATATCTATAATGTATAGAATATTTTTGTTTAAAAGTTATACTTGGAAGATTCAAATATAGTAAAACTAAGATTAGTAATTTATAAAACTCTAGATCTCCTTCTCTAACAAACAAATAAGTATTTCTGTTATTTGAAATATATTGTATAAATGACACTACAATTGTATTATTCAATAATTAATATTAATATATGATATAAGAAAGTTTCTGATATAAGTTTATTTTTTTATATCTTTATTATCACACACATATATATCTAATTATTACTATCTTGTATGTATACATTGTTATCAGATATATACTCGTGAACTATAATTTTTTCCATATAATATATTTGATTATTTTATTTAGTAATTTAGTTGTGAACGCCCGAATTCGAAGCAATCCACTTGAGGTAATTACTGATACGGGTATAGACACCAGGATGTAGCATAGTTTCACATCCTAATCCATAGGATAGAATCCCAATCAGCATCTGGTCTACCATGAGAGGTGCTCCTAGATCTCCCTACAAACATACGTGAGACGATTTCGGTAAATGATCAAGATCGTGTTCGGATTAATTCTCCTTGCTCATCCATTGTTTGCGAATAACTCGAACGTCGCTCTTCAATTTTGGCCATAATTCTTGAGTAAATACTTGCAACGAGATCGAATCGATCTCAACGTTTACACTGACGTTCTCGTATTGACTTGGTATTATTGTTTAACAATAATAGAAAGATCAATAAAACGTGACGTTTGGTAGAATCGACATTGGAATTTCTTATCGCAGACAGGGAAAGAGAGAGAGAGAGAGAGAGAGAGAGAGAGAGAGGGATAAAGAAAGGGAAAGAGAGATTCATGGGTGTATTTTCGCCAAATTTCGAACGAATAGAATGAATGCGAGTCTCTGTTGACGCGCATATCAGGTTTGACGATTTTATTAAGGAAATAAATTTTGCCACTTTATCGTCACGCCGCCACCATTATATTCTTTCAATAATATTCAATTTCGATTCCGTAGTCCGTATTCTGTATTCAAGAAGGCTCTCTTAAGCATTCCCAAAGCTCTTCCTCTTCTCTCGTTTGAGAGTACTTTTCAAGAGGACGCTGGAGTATCGTTAGAGGTTCAACCTGCATGAATCTAGCACAAAGAGTCCATTTACGGATATATCGTTGGGATACTTTCGAAATTAACGTTATCACCGCGCCATTTCAAATGCTGGGGGCTTTCGAATACAGAGAATTCGAAGAGGGTCTCTCCACGACGATGCGAGTGGTGCTTGCGCGTGCTTTCGTTTAAATCCTTTGAAAACGTGTTGATCGAATAAAAACCAATTTTCATGGAATAAAAAGCGCGAATCTCTAGGACAGACAGACAGACGCGCGCGACGACCTTTTATTTTTATCATAGCTATGCGCTGAAGTGTGAACACGGATATAGGTACAAAATATAGAGATGGTGGTGATTGTTTTTTTTTTTTCTTTTCTTTCTTTCTTTCTTTCTTTCTTTTCTATTTCTTTTTTTTTTCTCCTAATATTTGTTTTTTTATTTTCCACATTTATATACCGAATACTGGCAAAATGGTCGATAATAAATTTTTTTCTCTTTTCCGCGCCGCCCTTTTTATCAAATTTCATCCCGCGATTTTATATTTGATTACATTTTTTTCGCGCTAGTTTTTTTCAAGTGCTTCAATAAAATCACCCCCCCCCCCTCCTTCTTCCCCCAGTCGTTCGTGTTAACTTGTAAAATAGTAATTAAATTGTGAGTGTTTTTTTTTTCTCTCTCTCTAGCGGAAAGCCGCGGCGGTACGTTGGGAAAGAAAAAAAAATCGTTTAAATCGTTTGACAAATGACAGTGGTTATCTAATACGTCACAGTAACAATCACAGAGAACAAAATTGTTCGTGTATTAGTTGATTGTGTGGTACATCGATCATGACCAAGAGACACGTGCATCCATTTTTGTGGGTATATATACACGACATAGAATGATAGCGCGTCTAGGTCACGAGGAAATTACTTTTATCTCTGATAGAAAGGGAATTCGTGGTAGTTTCGTTTGTCGATCAAACAAGTTACTTTTCTATCTTTGATTTTCCTATCTATTTGGAAATAATATTTATCGCGATACATGTAGGTACTTGAGATATCACTTCGTTAGATACCATATTTGATTTATATTATATATATCAGATAAGATTTTTTTATGTTTATAATATTTTTATTTTTAGATATAATTACAAATAGAATAATATTGTATCATTATCAAATGTTTTGCCGGAAATGATTTATGTATATATGTACACATATATATATATATATATATATATATATATATATATATAATACCGTGATTTTATTCAAACAATAAGGTGTAAAACGTTGAAAAGTTTTTCTTATCAGACGGAGATAAAGAGAAAGAGAAAGAAAGAATGAAAAGAAAAGAAACTAAAAGGCGTGCTTTTCATAGTAAAGTCCCCTATTGTTCCTTAACCTCTGCTTCTGACACCCGAACGTGCTTGGTATCGGTAAGTATGTATTATAGGTATAATACATACGTACGTATTTTTATATAGACGCTTAGTATGTACATGTGTAATATACACCACGATCATACGTGCGTTTAACGTTTAGCATCTAGTTGGGGTCAAGAAACCTCTTGAAAGCATTTATAATACTACTGGATGCTTAGCGATCATCGGTTTTCTTCTGTTTTTCACTCTTTTTTCTTGACTATCTTTTTTATTCATCTATATCTTAAATAAATTCTCTTACCTGACACGTTTCCAATCCCTTAGTCATGTTACCAGCACAAAGCATGTTCTTGGAGAGTGGTTGGTAACTTGGCATCACGGAACTACATTTTTCCTGATTTACGGTCATCACGCTTATTACCGATAACTCACTTTCGATGGGTATATTTTGCGACTAAAAATTAATCATAATGTATGATATTGAATAATTAAATATCAGAAACGAATAAAAGGTTTTGGCTTTAATGAGGTGAAAATAATGAATTCGTAGAATTTTAATATCATGGATTTATCATGTAAATGATTAATTAATCGATCTTATTTTTATTACTTATGTTAGAGAATAATTGTGTATAATTAATTAAATTGACTTACTAATTTTCGTTGCCATCCAGTAACGAAAACAGTGGTGTTATCTTTGATAAAATAATCAGCACTTCCTGGCAAACTGATTGGTTGTAATTTTGGCCCAAACAGTGCCGGTATTTTCAACTAAATAAGAGATTTAACTAAATTATGTTTTCTTTTTCTTTTTATTAATATTAATTAAATTATCCATTTAGTGATATTTTAGTCTTTAATTATACGTACCCTTATTAAAGCTATGTCGTTAAAATTAATACATTTGTCAAAATGATTATGGATAACGATGTTATCAACATCCAAATCATCTCCATCCTTTATCAAAGATTCAGAACGAACGCGTATTTTGATCTCGGATGGCTTCAAACTAAAAACAATGGTATTTGTTCAGAATCGGATTGTACGAGTCTTCTGTTTAAGTTATGAAACAAAGTAGAAACTCCGAAAACATGTTTTTCTTTGAGCATTAAATCGAATAAATAACAATTCATTTATTAGTGAAAAATGTAATATAGAAGAGATATATATGTACTTGAATACACAGGATGCTGTGGTTAAAATCCAGGATTCGTATATTAAAGCGCCACTACATATATGCTTTCCAAATTTTTGAACAGACACCTTAAAATGAGAAAATAACAGTTTTTAATTATGCATTGTTAATACAAATAAATATTTGGATACAAGTTAAATTTTAGAGTTTTGAAAGAAAAATAATTTGATTCTCGAACGTGTTTGCTATCTTTTAAAGTTATTATTATTGTTCAAAGGATATAAAGAGTATATAAATTATAGGATAATACATAGATAAGTATTAATTATAATTTACATATATACAAAAATAATTATAGCACAATATTAATTGATAAAATATTTTACAGACTTACGTGATACGAATACTCGTAGATGGATACTTTTCTGGTTTCTCCAAGGATAAAAACTATACATAGATACACACGTCATATATATATATATCCATAATGATTATAAAAATATTTTTCTGAAATAATTCGAATCGATTTGGGAGAAAAAAAGAAAAAAGAAAAATTCAGACTTACTCTCAGCGAAGATAGCACAAACCAGGAGAATAATTTTTAATGTCATTTTGTTGACAATCGATCACACCTCGATGATAGCACGCGCAGAAATATCTCGCACCTCTTTAACTCACAAAACTGAATTAAACATCGCAGATAAAATTGTTTTTGGACATTATCGATTTTTAGGGCTTATGAAAAACGTTTTTCGTGTAAGCCCGAAAGAATGTGTTTATTTCAGATCTCCGACGTAACTTCTTCATCGTGTCAACACCGAAATAGTGTTTGTAGATAAAATTTTATTCTCTTTAGGTATTTTTCGTAGTATTATAAATAAGCCAAATGTTTGATGAGATATCGTATCATTTCGAGATGTAGCGATATTATGTCGTAATCATTCGTAAATTGGATACATACCAGTTACAATTTTTATCAGTGTAATATATAATATATAATTATAAATCTTATATATTTTATTATGACAGGGAATCTTAGAAAGATAGAATTAACAACTATATTAACATTTTATTGTTACGTTAAATTATTCTTTTTTATTTATTTCTATATAAAGATAATGAAATTTAGCATTATTATTTTGTATTATTAGTTTAATTTGAATGGGTTATAGACACACGCAAGTTTTTGTAATTATTTTAAATCATATTAAATGCCACTCATTTTTGCAATCCACGAGCGTAAAAGTGCAACGTTAGTATATACACCTGGATAACGTGGTCGAGCACATCCATATCCCCATGAAACAATTCCATAAAGTGTACCATTTGCTGAAAGTGGTCCTCCAGAGTCACCTTGACAGGAATCTTTACCACCTTGTTCCACACCGGCACAAATCATTCTTTCGGTAACATTGGCAAAACCGTCGTAAGCATTTTGACAACGAACTCTATTTACAATGGGTACACTAACTGCTTGTAAAATGCTTGGACTATTGCCTGATTCCTGTAATTAATATATTATTCATCCGCGCATAAAATAAATGAACAATTAAAGTCGTGACATACAGATACACACAAGCTTTACTGTAATTATTTTTATGAAATTAAAGATTGATTGCATACCGATAATGCACCCCATCCAGTAATATTCACTATAGCACCATTTCTTGGTTCGGAGGTTGCAAGTACTATGGGTTGTGTTACACTACTTAACCCTATTGTTCCCTTGATCTAAGACCAAATATATCGAAAAGTAATTACTTAAAATTAAATTATTTATATAACTTTTTTATATATCATTTATATATACCTCAACAAGACTGACATCGTAATCTAAGGTTTTAGGGTTAAACATTGGATGAGATATAATTCTGTTTACAGAAAATTTAATACCATAGTTCGCACTGCTGCCTACTGATACATAATAACTACTTATTGGATAACTGAAATTTATAAAATAGTATTAATAATCGTGGTATTTTACGATTACTTTTCAATGTAAACAAAATTACCGTGTGCAATGTGCAGCAGTTATGACCCATTTTTGACTAATTATAGATGCACCACATGTGTGACTATTATACACTAACAATCTTGCTTGATAAGGGTGTTCAAGAATACTAACTGGTTTTCCACCTACGATTCGATGATCCGGTAACCGTGGGATCAACGAAGAGCCTATAATGTCGTTGAATTAATTACAAATTTGAAAATATATATTTAATAATTATTAAGAAAGTTTATAATAATATTAAATATAACAGTACTCTTAAATTTAATTAAATTCACTATAACACTCACCGAAACATACCGCAAAGAGGGCAGCGAAAATAATAAACAGATTTCGCGACATTTTGCAAGAGTTAAGTTTGTCGATTAGTAGAAGCTTTTATACTTTCGATTCTCCCTACATTTTCAATAAAACTTAATCTTATCTAACCTGCAACAATATATTGAATTTTTAATTTAAAGTTTATATTTTTATTGGTTTACTGATTAATAATGATTAGGTTTGCCAAGAAAATTGTATAAAAAAGAAGAACAAAAGTAATGATTATGTGCATTGATAGTGAATCGTATTTTTTATTTGTCAAGTTTCCTTTATGGCTAACTCATGCTACCTTATCTTTGAATTATCATCATAATAGTTTGTACAAATAAAATAACTTTTTCTTTGAAATCTTCGATAATACTATTGATTGTTTTTTAACTTTTTTTAATCAAATTAATTGAACAATAATTAAATGTCTTTCGTTCTATCTATATCAATTGATTTTATCTCGTGTCAGGTTTTTCCTTGATTTACAATATTTCTACGAAATATTCTTATACCAAATGACATTTTATATTACACAACTTGTTCAATATTATTTTTTCAAACAATTATGGTATATATTGTTTCATCGTGATGTTTACTGATACGTCATATTTGTCTGATAGTTGCAAGCAAATAAAGTTATGCCGGAATTCGTATCAAGTAAGCAAGCAAACTCGTGACCACGGTTTGGCCATTAACATATAAATCAAATCTTCGGGACGACAGGCTGTTTCCTGCTTTCCTTGTTGTCTTCTCCTCTCCTCTCCTCTCCTCTCCTCTCCTCTCCTCTCTTCTCTTCTCTTCCTCTGTCATCGAAATACTCGACTCTCCTCATCCTTCTCAAAATTCTCTTCCTGTTACCGTGTAGGATACGTGTCCTTGGCAGCTGTCTTCGACTCGTACTTGAGAATATCGTCGTTCAGCGTCAATGGAAGCGTGAAATTCATTTAAAAAGGAGTACCATAGCCTTGTGAAAATGATTTGAATTATGATTTATTCTTTTGCTTTTATGTGGTATGGTGTTAAAATGAGAAAGATAAAGATAGAAATATAAAACAAATAAAAATTATTTACAATTAGAACGTAAACAGGTTATATCAAATATAATTTATTATTGTATTTTTGTAAGGATTCACATTTTAATCAATACATTAATTTATTTCTAAAGAGGACAGACAGTCGTAAAGAAATACAAAATAATAAAACTTTGTTCATATTCGTTAGGGATTTCTCTTTTTCTCTCTCCCGGGATTTCATCGGATAGTGGGGAAAGAGTAACGATTTTATTTCTTATTTTTCTACAGGAAGACGTTTCGAAAATTTCAGGAGCAATGAAAAAGAAAGTCTGAGATCGGTGAAGACGCTGCTGATGCAATTTGAACGGAAGGAAGTGAAGATCCTTGCCGGAGTTTGGCTGGGGCGATGTAACTTCTGTGAACGGGAACGGTCCTGGGTGCCATAAGTCTGTCGTGAAAGGACTAACGAGTTATATCCTAGGAGGATTCTCCGACTGGACATTCGAGCGACCATCTTGCATCCTTCCTGCATCCCTTCCATTCGTTTCTCTTTCTCTCTCTCTTCCGGTTACACAAAGGATTTCGAGAGTGATTACTGCACACCGGGGACACACGTTATGTGGCGTATGCAATTTTCACTCTCATCCTTTTTTTTTCTTTTTTTTTTTTTTTCATATAATTTATTGGAAAAAAAGATTTTCACAAAATCACATTAGCGGTACGTACTTCCAGAGAAATCTCTCGGGACGATTTTAACTTTTATTTGAATTTTTTATTTATTATACGATTTATTTATTCTCTTTTTTTTTGGTTTTTTTTTTTTCTTTTTTTTTTTTTACCCTCGTAGAACTCGTTTCCCCGTTCATTTTCGTTATAAATCCTGCTGCTATTTTACGCGTATATAATATTTTTCTCCGGTATTTTTCATTTCACAAGACTTTTCTCAACCCTATTTCTCAAGTGAGACTTATTCGCGAAAAATTTTTTTTTATCTTTCTTAGTCGAGTACATATCCTTTTCAGTAAGGATTCCTCCGAGATTTTGATCTTGGTAAAATCTAACAATACGCTTCGCTGCATCCCTTCTTCTTCCTCTTCTTCCTCTTCTTCTTCTTCATCCTCTTCTTATTTCACCGTTCACCCTTTCGATCTTTTCTCTATGATCTCGGAAGTCCGCATCGTAGTAAAACGAAACACAAGCACATTGGTAGATTCTAGAGGAAAAAGAAGAGAGGGTGCCGGGGGTCATGAATATTACATATTCGGCCGGTATTAATATTTTATCTCGGGCATTGTCCGTTGATGAGACGCAATGGGCCTCCGGAGCTTGCGTCGACTCTGAAGAGAAAAAGCTTCACAAAAAGAGAAGGAGAGGAAGAGAGAGAGAGAGAGAAAAGTTAAAAAGAACCAGTGAAAGGTTTAAATTTGTGAGCATCTAACGTTTTACTGAGAGCAGGAAATAAGGGCAATACGAAAGAGTTAAAGTTTCGTAATTAAACCGTGTATGCATTGTTTTCGTTGCATTGTACAAAACGATGCATTAGAAATAAACCAACGGAGAGAGAAAGGGATAAAGTTAAAGAAAAAGATATAAAGTAAAAGGGGAGAAAGTTAAGTTTCATGGAAATCATAATTCAACGTCGACGTTTTGTAACTACGCAAGCAGGACCGTTCGAAAAAGGAAGAAGAACATTTTTCCACTGCGTCATGGACTTTTATTTTTCTTCAACGGATACAAGTATTTTCAAGATGGCGCCTTATACCTCTCTCTCTCTTTTTCTCTCTTTCTCTATTTCTCTCTTTATTTATTTCTTTCTCTTTCTGTGCGTCCGTTCTCTTAAACTTGCCTCCTAGTAAGTTTTTTTTTTTTGTGTTTGTTCTCTTTTTCCGTCCAACTTCTCGTTGCTAGCACGTTTAACGTCGAGAAGCCAAAATCATTGGAGAGGATAGACACGGTGTTCGTTTCGGTGCGTGAATTTCATCCTCCGTGGAAAATTGCCAGCTTGAATTCACAATGAGGTGAATAACAAGTAACCTCTTCCGACGAGTATACCAAGGTTTAATTGTTCATTGGAATAATTCGAAATATTCGGAACTCGTTCAAGTATCCAAATCTATTGAAATGATTTGTACTTCAGAGAGAAAGAGAGAGAGAGAGAGAGAGATGTAGGTAATTATTATCGGGATAATTAATATATATGCGTACGACCTTGTATTAATTAGAAAATCGTAAAAGAAAAAAATGTGATAATCGTAATTCATTCGATTTACGAGTAACGAAATGTCGTTATGCATTTTATATTAACGCAATGAACATTTCTGCTTCAATCGATGTTTCTTTTCTTTCGCAACGATCGTACATATATCTCTATTGGCAATATATTGATTATATCGATAACGAAAATGAACGATAACGATCGCGTCGAAAAAGATATGTCGTCGTCGTTGTGATTTTAACGGTGGGATGGGGGGTGGGGCGGGGGAGCGGGGAAATAAATAAATAAATAAAAAAAGAAAAAAGAAAAAAAAAAAGAGAGAGAAGAATTCATCTTGTTTCTTTTTTTTTTTTTTTTTTTTTTTTTTTTTTGTTGTTTCCACGAGAAAGATCGATGATAAAATCCCAACGCGCGCTAGCGTTAACGCGGAATGTCACGTAACGCAAAGAACTCGTGTCAACGTCGTTACAAGGTAAAATCGAGGATTTGCACGAGTTAACGGACCTCCGTCATATCGTCGAAATATTTTTCCTATAGGAAGATTTCGCATTTTTTACGTGGTGATATTGTATCGCGCTAGGGTTAAAACAAATTATTTATCTTGTTCTCGATAATTTGACGATTTTTGTTCAAGACGAGAAATTCGAAAGAAATAAATCAAAAAGGTAATACATTTGTTTTTTTGTTCATTTGAAATGAATTATTTCACTCGCGCATAGACACACATACACACACACACACATACATATATATAATATATATCGATGATCATTCTCCGAGAAGTATCGCATTGCTTTTCGTTCACATATATATCCGGTGATACTATCATAATATTATTTGTAATAAAATTAATTAATCTCGCTCGTGCGCGACGACCATTAGTGCTATGTAGCTTGCATAATACAAGAGAAAACCGTATTACGCTTAGTGCACTCGACGAGAACCTACCGCAGCTCGATTTTCGCGTATCGTAAACGTTATGGGAATGAACGTAGTGAAAATCGACGAATCGGTGCTTTGCACCGATATTATCTCCTCTACACTTTTCCTCTCTCTTTCTCTTTCTCTATATCTCCCCCTCACTTTCAATCCGTATATGGCTCGTATTTTTCGAAAATTTTTCTACCGAATTCGGAACTCCAATTCGATTATATACACGCACGTGGAAGAATATTTCACCAAAATCGAGTAGGCTCTGTGTGCTGCTACCACATACCACATAGGTTTTGGATCGGTTGTACTAACGAGAGCAACGCATCGTCGAATTGCGAAGCACCAAATGCTGCCTGTTATTATCCTTCGAATTAATTTGTACGTACGTTTGACGCATGAAACAAGAGAAATTAAGAGACAGAAAGGTATAGAGAGAGAGAGAAAGAGAAATAGAAAGAGATAAAAACAAAACAATGTTGAAAAAAGCTCGTTTATGGATACGCGTCATCAAGGTATATATCCTGTGTTTGGAAAAAAAAAAGAATAATCTCAAAGAACACGACAGGGCGATGAATAATGAGGATAAAACTATATAAATGATCTCGGTCGGTGTAAACGTCGTAACTTCGTCCTGCTTCATCCTTCTTCCTTGCTTTTTCTCTCTTTATCTCTCTCTCTCTCTCTCTCTCTTTCGGTGTTACTCTGTCATCGACGTAATTAACGTTTACACTCGTTCGTCCATGTATCTCGTGGGACGCAAATTTTGAACCTATATTACGTTAAATTACTAGACCAGACGATAACGCGTATCCGACAAAGTGATAACTGCATCGATACGTCAACGTGCATTATTTTCAGTTGATTTTACCAACAATAACGATCATTTTCCCTATTTTGATCAG